TTATTCCACCAACGCACAACACACAGAAGTAGAGTGTATTTATCGGTAATTTTACTTGATAGCATTTGCAGAATAATTGGACGCGGCTCGTAATTACAATAATGATGCTTCTTGATTAAGTATTATATTCAGCAATATAAGGGTTGTTTTGTGGTTGGGGGCGGCGGTGGGGGCGGCAGGAGAAACAAAAGCACACGATCGTTGCGGATGTCCTTCGAATGCAATATTCCAGTTTGTAAATGTGTCTTTTATAGTTTGACTCGATGAGAAACTACCCTTAAACCAAAAACTACCCCCAATGTCAAAGTATCTATGAAATTCCGAATTTGAGATAAAGTCTAAATCTAAAAGTAGATTTTAGTTGACTATATATTCTGGACCTTTATGTTTCAACTGCGGGGGCGGTTTATTAGCCGCCCCCTTTGACTGCGGACAATAGTTTAGCTTCGGATTATAACAATACGTAAAACTAGATAGGTACAAGATGCGAGATAGATTAGTGTTTAGTGTAACACGTTGCAAAGGGTTAGCTTCAGGTGGGGGTGGTTATCAGGGGGCGGCAGAGGTGCAAAGGAGATGGAAGCAGGCGCGTGAAGGCAACCAGGCAGTAAAACCTTATTATAAATTCCCGCCGGCATCGATGTAACGTCCTTCTCCCGACTAAGACGAGCGTCCTGCCGGAGGCGGCGGCCAGGGTGGTCGATTATCTATAAGTCACCCCTCAACTCGACATTACCTTTACTTTAACGTTCGAGTTTCAAAATTTTGCGCGTCGATTAAAATATTAAGAATTTACTACGGGATAGACTAGAAAATGTCTTTCAACCCTTAATTTAAGGGATGATTGCGTACACGTGTGTATCCTGTTGTTGAATTCAACAATTCGTTTCATAGTGTTTGGTATCCGCATGGGTGGATTTCGAAGGGCGCACGTTTCGACCGCTCATCCACGCCGCCCTTGCCGCCACCGCCGCCGCCTCCGCGCATATCGGCCTCTCCTCGGCAGCCGATGCCCGAACACCTCATCAGTCAGAGTCATTACGAACACAGATAATTAATTACATTTACTCTCTCGCCGTCTCTTTCTGCTGGCGGCGGGGACGTCGACGGTGGCGGCGGCCGAGAATTGCATAACATTAATTTTACCCCGCGCGCACCCACCCGCCACCGCGCTGGATGTACCTACGTGCCCTGCCACTACCGCTGCTGCCGTTTCTATTGCTTTGCGATTGCCGTGGCAAGCGGGGGCGGTGAGCGACCACCCCTTTCCGTACGCGTTTAGCCATTTCTCATTATGACTACCACCTTCCACCACCACGGGGACTTCCAGCCATATATTACTACTTTCTATCAGTCACAGTCACGGCCACTGCATCCCTTATTTTCCAACCCTTAAAAAATCATCCCTTAACAGAAAAAAATCACAAACACCAGATTTAATTTAGATTAGAAAAAAAATTTATTTCACGGACACACTGTATATAAACGTATTTATAATATATGAATATACAATGTGTTTAGAGATAATTTTTTTTTGTTTGCGAACACATTGTATGTTCGAGTAGTGAAATTCGATGCCTGATCGTTTGTTGTTTGCACGACGTGTGTTGGAACGAATTGGAGCTCGGCGTTGCCGAAGAATGATATAAATTATTGGCTTAATTGCCTCGATACTTAGGTAGTGCCGGGCCGAGCCCCGACCGGCCATACCTACGCCTTTCCGCAATTGCCTCGCATTGCACTCGCGAATGTGAAACGTGGACAACAATAACAACTGAAACGACCGCAGCAACTATCAGACGCGCGCGTATGTGTGTGTGTTGGTGTGCGCCAACAAGATGGCGACTGCAAACGGCGAGACGCAGACGGGCGCGCATTAATTATATAACAACTTTGCGAAATGAGTAATGCATTGTAATTACCGTTCAATTTTCTCTCTCGCCTGCGAAACCAAGCGGCCAGCGCAACGAGCTAACGAACTTTGGCTGCAGACATAACCTAAATTTTCAACGAAAAAATACAACGGTTTTTGTGCGTGTTTAAAATTGGAATAACTCGTAAAGTTTTTGTGATAGAGAAATGGTTGATAGGTCATTTTGTAGGTTATGATATGTGCTTTTGATGGGAATAAGTTGTTTTAGTGTGATTTATATAACCAAGATTTTACGGGCGTTTAAAACAAAATTATGTCAAAATTTTTGTTGAAAAAATGTTTAAATGTGTGATAACTCGACACACGAGTATGATATTAAGTCAAATTAGGTGTCATTTTGTAGGTATTGAAAAACTCTTTAAAGGGGTGATAAATAAGTTGAAATTTACTGACGCATTATTAATTAATTAACAAAATTAATGAAAATTTCATAATTTTCATTAAAAAACGTGTTTTTAACGCCAATAGAACATAATATTTTAATTAGCCATTATGTAAGGTTATAATAAATTTAATTAGCTATTAAATAGTGTTAAAATAATTAAAATCGGTTGAGTAGAACTCTCGCAAAGTTAAAATTTCAAAAATTCGAATATTATAAAACCGAACTTTTTTCCGCATCCAAATTTATTAATTTATGTAGATGTTCGTTATTAAAAAGACAAAATTAAAAAAATATCGTGTGTTTGCCGCTCCACCGGACGAAAATTCACGCATTGAAACTCCGAAACTCCAAAGCAAACAAAAAGCTCAAAAATTCCACACGTGCAATGCGAATAAACCTTCGGAAAAAAAAAGCCTGAAACAAAAAAAAGGAGGAAAAAAGTTTGGCTCTCGGACAAACGAAAACCAATTCCGCTCGTTTTCCTATCCCGCGTCGTCCTTTGAATCGGACGAATGATATTTCACCTTTTTACTTCGCTCCTGCTCTCCCTGCGCGCCTGCATCGCGCGATGAGCAATGAACAACGAGAAATGCGCACAAAAGGTGAAATTTTTGAAACAATTACAGAAATATTACACATACAGTGTGTGCATATTCAAAAACACACCACAAAAATAAAATCCTTTTATAAAAATCATCACTTACTTAAACCCAAACAAAAAAATGAATATTTTTTTAATTCATTTATTATTTACCGTTAAATAAATTTTATTTATACTTAGAACAAAAGAGTCAAGTGGATAAATTCTCCACTGACCATCGCTGTCGATTCACCGCGCGCAATTCGAGCCGCATCGAGCAATCAGTAATTTACGAAAAAACGACGGCGGCGTCCGCGCGCGTTGGAGGATTGGGGGGTGGTGGAACGGGGGTGGCTGCGAGTTGCCGGACGCGCGCGTCCCCCACCTCCCCATTGCACACACATTCAGACTATGTATGCCTTGATTTTTTTTGTTTTCGCGAGTCAATCCCACACACATACATTTAAATGCAGATAGGCCACCCAACCTACTCATTACACACGTTACACACGCACATATACATATAGCGCATTTTTATCCCCGGCCGTATTGATTTTTAATAAAATTCTTTTTTTCTGTGTCCCAGCTTAAAACACGTACATATTGTATATTAGCATACAGTGTGTTCAATACCAACACATGTATTGGGTGTAAAATGTTTTTATGCGTGTGTATATGTGTGAGGGTGGATTTTTGCCGCCCCCACATCCGTTCGACGTGCATAATTAACTAATTACGAAAAATGTTCGCTTTACGCCTGCACCCGGACCAAACCCACCCTGATTTCGACATTTCGGCTCACCTAAAAGGGTGCTGTATGCGTGTGTGCGGTTTTTTTTTTTGCATTTGGGGGGTGGTTGGTGAAAAAGCGCGTCATTTCCAATAATTACGTTTTCGGCCATTCAATGGCGTCGCCAGCGGGAAAAAAATCGCGAACGCGTATTGTGGAAAAACTAATAGAAGTAAAAGCGATCACCGCGGGGGTGGTTGGGGTGGCTGGCCGCCGCTTGCATACCCACTGCGTCACAGTAGAACCCATGCGTGGGTTGGGGTGTAAAATTTCCGGCGAAAAAAGTTACCTACTAGTAGTGCAATGGGAATGCAAACACAAAAAATACGAAATTAGTTTGCCGGCGGCCATTTTGTTCGCCAACGAAAACAAATAATTCGAAATAGAAAAAAAGGCATTTGTAAAAACTTCTGCGCATAGATGGCGTTAGTAGTTGCTGGTGGTTGGTAATTACCAGCGTGCAATACGCATTTTGCGTTGCGTGTTGTTTTCGTGAGTAATTAAACTAAATAAATTTAACAAATTGCAGAAAATGCAAAAAAAATGTGTGGATGAAAATGTGGAAATGAACAATTGCGCAAATGCAGCTCACGCAAATTGCAGCGACGCGCGGGAAGAGTAAAAAAGCGCGGTTGCTCGCCGGGCGAAATTTATAAATGAGTATAATATATTAAAATATAAAGGTAATTTATATCGCGTGCCATAATGTGCGCCGCATTGCAAAAAAAGCGCGAGAGTACTTAGTTCAGTGCATTAAAACACAAAACTGGAAACACCGGGAAAAAATCACAAACAAATGTGAAAACAAAACGGAACAAAACATTACACGACATTATAACTTATACTACGTGTAATACACATTAAAAATACAACAAATGTTAATTACTTGAGATGGAAAAATCAGTTATTACACCAAAACAAAAGAAAATAATTTTTTTTATTTTCACATTTAAAATGTTAGTTTTTCCACGGTTTTTAGACACAAAACAGCCAAAGTCGTGACTAAAGTACTTTAGTCACGAGCTTTAGTCACGGGGTGGAGCTTAGAGATGATTTATAATACAAAAGTTCAAATACAAAAATTAAAACGTGGAAATAAAACGGAAATAGAAAAAATAGCATAAGCAACACGTGACTAAACTTCATTATACACTCGATTGATTAAACGCTTGCTACACTCACTCTAAATCAATCTCATGACAAAAACTCCAGTTTAACCACTTGATACTTAATATACTCTCATTTTTAACAAAAAAAAATCAAAATATTTTTGTCTATTATTCCATTTATTAATAAATCTCGAAATATTTAGCTAATGGAATGATGGCACACACAGAATGATGGGCCGATTAAACAATTACGAAGCACGCCAGGAAGCTGAAGGTGCTTTCATCTCGCGACGTTTGATGTGCAGCGACGGCGGCGCCGTCAATGATGCGGATCGATAAGATCAAGGTGAGTTAAGTTACTCAATTACCTGCCTCGTCGAATAATTCGAAAACAAACCCGGGATGCGCGCACACGTGACAACCACCGAATGCACATACCGTTGTGCTGTTGCTAATCAGCGTTTTAAAGGCAATTAGAGAATTTTGCGCAAGTTATATCACTCGCAAAGGCTGCGTTTCAGCCTGCGTCGCAATTGAATAAACAAAGTTACGAAAATTACTGCAAAAGTTCCAAATATGGTTTCGGAAGGTTAAATTATGGGGATGTACATTAGAAAAAGGGGAAAGGGAAGTATTGTTTTATTGGTTATGTTTTTTTATTGATTTTTCGGTTGAAAATATTGAAAATTTTGTTAAAAATTGGATTTTTTTGAGTATTTTGGATATTTTTTAAAAATTTAAACAAAATTGAACCGTATTATTATTAATTTTGTTGGGTTTAACTTTTAAAGTATTTATTTGCTTGTTAATAGCTATTATAAAGACAAATATAAGTTATTTGTATGTTTGTGACGCTTTCCCGCCTAAATCTTTGAACCAATTTTGATAAATTTTGGTATAGAAATAGTTTAGACTCTAGAGAAACACATAGTCCACTTTTTGTTTTCAAAATTTATCTTTAAAAGTGTAAAATGTGTGATTAAAGTTTTTATGAAGATTCAATCACAGTTATAGTTATGCAGTTCAAACCGAGATGGCGCTATAGTGCATTACTAGCCATACCTATTATTTCGATACAAAGCTCTCAAATTACTCTAAGAAATCATTAAATCAATTAAATATTTAAAAAATACGCTAATCAAAATAAAATTCTTCTTGTTATGCAACGCGCTGATTCCAGAGTTAACAGACGCGTTATGCGTTATTAATAAATATTAATTCGCAATTATTGCGCTAATTGCAGGCCTAGTTTTACGCGCGAATTAAAATTTCGCTACGGTGCCACCCACCCACACACATATCACTACAGCTAATACTTGCATCACATATCGTTATCATTACGCATGTATATGAAATGATATGAAATTACAATTTAATAAATCTGGCTCATGAGAAAAATCCACATGCGCACACACACACACATTCTCGTTCGTTTAAAAATATTTATTTATGCACGCACACACGCATCCATAATGCCAATAATGCGTAATACATAATATTATACATAACGCAAATTACCATTACCAGTAGCAGTAGTAGCGCACGGCGTATAATTGCGAATTGAAAATTTCGAATTAAAATTAAAATGCGAAATGCAAAAATGTTGCGAATATACGCGATGAAATGATAGAATCCAATCGCAATTATAAATATAAATTAAAAATTACGCGCGATAATATTATTGCGCACGCCGTGATTAATTACTCATTATATGTATTACGATGATGACATTTTGAATTTAAATTGATCTTGTTTTATTAATATAATTGATGCCGATATGTTTAATTTTTGTTCATTTTCACAAAGTCACAAAGAGTAATACACTATAATTTTATTTTTCATAAATTCAGAAAAAGGAAATTTTATTTTTTGTTTGTTTCCAAGTTTTATTTTAATTAAACTCGATTTTTTTCTAATTTTATCTTGAAAGTATCATTTTTCACGGTTATTAGACACAGAATGGTATTTTAGGCACGGCCATGACTAAAGTACTTTACACACGGATTTTAGTCACGGGGTGGAGCTTTGAGATAATTTATAATACAAAAGTTCAAATACAAAAGCTAGAATATTGCCAGTTTTTTCACGGTATTTAGAAACAAAACGGTGAAAGCCATGACTAAAGTACTTTAGTCACGGGTTTTAGTCACGGGGTGGAGCTTGGAGATGATTTAAAATTCAAAAGTTTAAAAACAAAAACTAAAATATTGCCAGTTTTTCCACGGTTTTTAGAAACAAAGCGGCCAAAGCCATGACTAAAGTACTTTACACACGGGTTTTAGTCACGAGGTGGAGCTTGGAGATAATTTAAAATACAAAAACTAAAATATTGCCAGTTTTTTCACGGTTTTTAGAAACAAAGCATCCAAAGACATGACTAAAGTACTTTACTCACGGATTTTAGTCACGGGGTAGAGCTTGGAGATGATTTAAAATACAAAATTTCAAATACAAAAACTAAACGTGTAAAATAAATCACGTGGCTAAGCGTTGTTAAACACTTGATTAATTAAACACTTCCTACACTAACTCTTAATCAATCTCGTGACTAAAACTCCCTTTTAGCCACTTGATACTTAATATACTATTATATACCCCTGATATTTTTGCAAAATAATTTTTAATTTTTTAATTTCATTCCAAATCAATTCCGAAACAAATTAATTTTTAATAATATTTTTTTCATATATCTCTTTGATTACCTATAACAAAATTATTTGCATTTTTTCTCATTAATATTCATTTTTACCACATTTACATTTACATCGAATGAAAACAGCCAAATTTTTATTTGAATTATTCGAATCGCAAAACAAAAAAATGTACATATCCAACCCCCTCCTGCTCGTTGATTTTTAGGAGCTGGGGGTGTGCTCAACCCCCAAAAACTTATGCATATGCGCAAACATTAAATCACAAAAAAATGCACTCGCGTTTTATTTGTTTACGTTGTTTGATTGAAAATATTCAAATTATATTTGTTCCCCCCATTGGCAACAAACCCTCCCACCCCCAACCGCCTGCATTCGGCTTTAATCACGCTCTTATATATTTTTCGCGTGTGCATATTTATTTTGTTTTCATAAAAATAAAAAATAAAATATAAATGCGATTTTTTGCACCCTGCGCACCCTCACACCCCCACAGTGATATTTTTTATACATTTTGTTTTATTTTGCATTCGGACGTTTTATTTTTTAATGTTTTATGCAACACATAATAAAACATGCTCGCCATTTTTCAATCACATCATAATTTATACCCGCATATACAGTGTGTTCATAACTATTATTATTTAAAACGATGCCAATTGATCAGAGAGCTGATATTGAAACGTTCGGTTTATAGGCGATGCGGAAATAAAAATATTTTTCATTAAAACGCGCCCCGAACAAATAAACTCGTTTTTTTCAACGCTGCTCATCAAATCAACGCATAAAAATCAGGCAAAAATTGAAATCCACCCACACACACATAGGGGTGGCAAAAATATCCGCATTAATTAATATTTATTTATTTATTTGATATTTTTACGATTGAATATCAATTTTTATTTTTTTTTTTATTTTGTGAAAAATTAATTTACCTCTGCTTTGATGACGACGTTCAACGCCGAAGGTGACTGATGCGGCACCGCCGCTGGTCCAAGCATCTCGCCGCTCTCCTCCTCGGTGCCACCCTCGGCCATGTCAGCCTCGCATCCTGATTCGTCTAAAAATCAAAAAAAAAAAAAATTATTCATGGTTTAATTAATAATTTGCACTTTCAGCGAAATTAATACAAAATATTTGTGCAATTACAACTAATACATCATAACTAAATTAAGGGGTGAATATTATTTCATCCCCAAAGTGCAGATTGAAATTCAGCGTCAATTTAAATCTATCGCTCGATTTCATAAACGCGATTAGAAACGGACGGGCGCGATGAATTTAGAAGCACCACCTTATTTCAATAGTGTTGCGAGAGGGGAAAGGGGCGGCAATAAAACATGCGATGCACTCGGCGATCGACAACGTTTCGATTTTATATTATTAATATACGGCTGATAGTCAAGCGTCGAAAGCGTCGACGCGATCAACATCAACTAAATAACCAGTCAAGTGATGATTTATCCATCACACATCGAGCACATCGTCTGCGCTTGATGACAAACGTAATGGTGCAATGACAATATTAAATTATCATCTAAAAGGAAACATGAAGGATGCATCATAGGTGGCGCGGAGAGCGGCGTGATTTATGACAGGTACTAAAAGTTGTCGAAACGTAAGTTAGGAATTAATTGTGTTTGGGAATATACAGAGTGTTTTAAGATGGTAGAATGTGAGTGGAATATTTAGGGGGAACATTTGGATGATTTATAGGCAATTAAATGTTTTTATTTGGGTGTATAGGTGTTTTGTATGTTTGAAACGCTTTAACATAAAAACCTCTGAATGGATTTTGATAAATTTTGGTGTGGAGATAGTTTTGACTATGGAAAAGGATATGGACTACTTTTTGTTGCAAAATTTTATTTTTAAGGGTGTGAAATAAGGGTTGAAAGTTGTTATGGAGATTATATCATAATTATAGTTACATATTTTTATCATAGAGGGCGCTAATATTCATTATTAGCATTTTTTATATTTTTAAAACACAATTGAGGTTATAATTAATGATTCCCGCTTATAATAAGTCGAAAAAATCAAAAAATGAATTAATTATGCAATTTTTTATTAAAATATCCACTAATACACAATATTACTTCAAAATTAATTGTTTCAACCCTAAAACCCCGAATATTATACCATAAATGAATTTGTTATTGTGATTCACAACCTTATTACCCAGCTAATAGAATTTATTTGGTTAATAATTTGCGAGTGTAATAAATACGCGCGCCACCCTTCTGGGGGCAACGCTAGTAAAATAATATATAATTGAATATCGCGGCCGGTAAATTTTATTCCACGCACATGTTTCGCACCCGCTTGCGCGTGACGCACATACGCGTACGCACGTGTGCCGCCGCCGCGCGCGGGGCGGCTGGGAAGCTAATTTTCGGAAATGTAGTCGCTCGCGCGCGCTTCCGCGAATTGAATGCAACAAAACCGAGTTATTTTCCTGCAAACGCACGAAAATAGTGTGAAAACCACCGCAGCGCAGTGAATTGAGCTGTAGTACAGCGAATTATGTCATTATGGGGGTTCATAATAATAAATGCAACAAGTTTAGTCGCTGTGGTGGTTATAAATCAGTTTCGGATTCGTGTTTTTAGGCTTTGAAAATGAGAAAAATTACAAAAAAATTAAAATTAAGAAAACTTTGAAGAAAAAAAATTGAAATAATTTCGATATATGTGGATATTATATACAGGGTGTTTCATAAATTATAAAAAGGATAATTAGTTAATGATGGTTTTATACAGGGTGTTTCAAAAATAATAAAAATAAACAAAAGGTTTTTTTCATTTTTTTTCTAAAAAATTTTGCAATTTTTAAAAAATAATTTAAAATTGATATTTCTTAGCATTTATTATTATCTAAATTGACAATTATTGATACCTAAAAGTTGATTACATTTCCATTTTTGTTTTTTGTTCTTAATTCCTTGTCATTTACTGCCAAATGAATATTATCATTACCATTCCTCTCTGAATGCGCAATTTCATAACCAAAACCAAAACCGAGACTTACATACCAATAAATAATAATAATATATTAACCGTATGCATCATATTCGTGATTAGTCCTCGCGAATGCCTCCACGAGTCCCAGTTTGCTATCCGCGGCGTGCAGTTATAGTTAATTGTAATATGTCTCGCGGTATTTGCATCGCTCCGGACGCTAATTTGTTTTTAACTGCCATGTGCAAACCGTGCCCAAATTTGTACACACAATTTATTTGTTTGGAAAAGTTTCAACTTCAACTATTACTCGCTAACTATAATTTCATGCGTGTGTGTGTGAATGTAATCTTCGAAGACTCGGCAAACATAAATTATAATTAACGTTAATTAAGTAGACCAATTCTAATTACGCCGACTGGGGCCAAAGATGACTAATATTGGAAAAATTGACTTAATTACCCAAATTCAATTAGAGTTAATTAATAAATGTGATTAACAATCTTAAAATTAACAAAAAATTTAGTAAATTTGTTATTTTATTATTGTGTGAGTTAATATTGTGGTTATGATGTTCTATGAATGACATAGTGGCACGTTGGCACGAGCGCAAACCTGTTGAGGCGGCGGCGGCGCGACCTCGCATACCAAGCGTGCACCGCCGCCGCCGCCGCAGTGTGCCACCGCAAAACGGCCGCTCCTCCTCCGTACCTCCGAGCATCGCATCACGAACGCCCGCCTTGTCACATTTTACCACGCTGAATTCTCTTTCATTCATAACCTTACCTCAAACACAATAATATCACATTTACTTATATACAATGTGTTTAAATTAAATTAAATTGTATTTAAAATCATTTCTTACACCTACACATCCCTGCTAATATTATAAATGCGAAAGTCCGGATGTTTGTTACACTTTGACGCAAAAACTACTTAACCGATCATCATGAAAATTTGTACACATATTCTAAGTGGTCCCCGAATGGTTATAGGCTACTTTTTATTTAATAAAAAAAATTATTTTTTAAATAAAATAAAGAAATTGTTTAGCCAATAATACCTCTGCATCTGACTATTTGACTACTTTAACGCCATCTAGCATCCCAGCAATGAAGCTCAAACCTAAGTACTATAGTACCATCACACTGTATTATCACACTGTATTACCGACAGCTACGTCAACATCAAATCCAATTGACTACACTATGGAGACTGTACACTATACTTCCATAGACTATACTTTCAGCCATTTTAAACTTCCCGCCATTCTACTTCATTGTTACTTCTTCTGTGACTACAGACGCGTACGGAAGCAACTTCATTATTTTAGATATTCGCGAGCGAAGCCGCGGGTTAAACCTAGTTACTAATATTTTTTACTTAGTATAATATGGTTAGTATTGTAATGTGTGTCGTGTAACGGTCAGTGCCCTTAGTGCTGTTCTCCTCTCATCATACAGCTTCGTTTTGTTCGGGTTCTGCTCCCCCTCACCATCAATCTAACCAGTATCGTTGGTGGATACCAACGTTCAGCAATAATCTGTCTTTATCGCTTGGTTGTTGGTTCTCCTTCTTTGTGTAGTCCGTAGTTTGTGAGAGGTTTGGCGAATGTGGAAATCAAGCGGAGTGAGTTCGCGTTTCTTAATTGCATTAACATTAACACGACCCCACCCACCGGTCGGATCGTGTGTGCATATTAATAATCTCAGCGCATAACATTTAATATCTGTAGGAATATAGATTGGTATGATTTATCACTTCATTATAAGTAAAGTTAAGTGTTTTTAAAGTTGGAAAGAAAAATAATGATTTTTTGGGAAATTAATTAATTACTTGAAAATTAATTATTTTTTATTGAAAATTTTGATAAAAATAATTAGATTAATAAATTTAGAGTAGAATTATGTAAAAATTTTGTTTGTAGGCAGTTTTCATCAAGAGAAATTGCAATTTTTTCAAAAATTTTATTTTTTGTTGATAACTTTTTGTAGAACAATTTTTTTAATAAATTTTTTTAATAGGATGATGCCGAATTTAATTTTGAATCGATTAGTAAAAAGTCATTTGTTTATCTCAAGTACTTTTCGATTAATTAATTAAAAACTATTTTTTTACCTTATTTTTTACCCTGCCACACTGTATATTTATTTTACTACTTTTGTTTTTACTACAACTTACTAAAGATTTCTATATTCTTATATTCCGATTGGTAATACCTATTCACTAATTATTCCGATTTGAACATTGTACACAGTAAGAAATTAACCATGTGGCGCAACTCGCGTAATTATTGTTACACGTAACTTGGGCGACGCACTTTTTGTCATTCCTCGCCAGCGCACCCAATTTCAATCATCAGGCTTTTCAACACTCGACTAATATGCGATATGCTAGAGCTAGAGCTAAGCTAACTCCAAGTTAGCTAAGTGTGTTAACAACCACACGGCCCAGACGCTGGGCCAGCTCGCTAACTACCAGCGAAACTATAAACGTTAACATTAAACGTTAATTATATTAATGTTTATAACATTTCGTTAATCGGCTATTATAATTTTATGCGTTCTTGTTGTGATGTACAAAATATCAAAATTTGATCTTTTCGTTTGCATTGTTTGTGGATTTGTGCGTGGAATATTAGGTTTTGAACACATTGTACACATGGTAATTATTTTATGAGCTGGACAGATTAAAGTAGTACAGAATCACAAACAACTTATATATTAAATTATTATATGAGTAGTGGTGTATAAGTTATAGCTGTCAACTTTTCATAAAGCTCTTTGTTTTAAGATTTAGAGCTCATAATGAAATATAAATTCAGTTTTTTTACTTCCATTTTTAAAACATCAGTTTTTACACGGTTTTGATGCATAAAAAGTGTACTTTAAACACGGCCGTGACTAAAGTACTTTATTTTATAATTATAGTAAAAAATTTCACATTATTACTGATAAATTCATATAAAAAACTCAAAATTATATTATTTGTTTTAATTCATACAAAAAAAACCTTTTTTTTTATTTATTTTTTGTTTTATTATTTTTAATTTATTAACAAAACATTTTTTCCATTATGAAAATTAAATGGAATGAAACCT